CTCTTAAAGTTTTTTTTTTTTTTTTTTTTTTTTTTTAACAAAAAATATATATATATATATATATATATATATATATATATATATATATTTTTTTTTTTGTGCAGAGGGAATATGCGAAAAAGATTGTCCGTGTGGTAGACCGTGTCTGTGAGTACAGATGATAGTCAGGTGCTTCAATGAAAATGTAAAGTTTCCTTCCTGAGTTAAAAAGACAGATATATCCTCTCGTATTTATTCATTTTGTACACATGTACATTTAATCGACGATTGGGTAGATTTCTGCTAGTTCGATTTGGCAAAATCCACTGCTGCTTCAGGTTGCATGATAAATGCTTTTATGTTTTGCAAGGTGTTTTTTTTTTTTTTACAGATTGAATCTAGAAGACAAAAGTCTTTGTCAACCTTGGCTTGTTAAGTGCAACCTGACACTGACATTGAGAAGTCACCTGACGAAGGTCATAATGGAAATAGAGTCACAAAAGGCCTCTGCTTTATCCTGGCGTCCATTTGATGCCCAGCAGGGAGGATGCTGATGCAAACTCTCTTTTCAAAATGTTAGATAAAGAAGATGCAGAGAGAAAAATGTGTTGAGGTTTAAATGAATCTTCCAGTTGAACAAAAAGAAAAGCATTTCATGAATTCACTTTTGCATCTCCTGGTCAGAGTAACAAACAGGGTCCTTTAAATCCCGAAATGATAAATGCACTTTAGGCAGAGGGAAGATAGAAGAAACAGAAACCAGAACACATTTGATTTCCCTCGAGCCCAAGGTCAACACCAAGTGACAAGAGAGCCTTGCTGCAGGCGGGAACAGGTTGGCCATCTGGGCGCCAACCCACATAGACGGTGTCCAGGTGGTTATTTATTTAAAAATCTATTTAAATCTTTCAACAAAACTAATGCACAGTGTTTTACTTCATAATGTTAGCACCCACCTTTGCTTTTTGTCATGCTTCAGTCTCTGCAAAGCAAAATTTACCAATAAATATTGGTCAAAATCAAACTGTTATTGGTCAATAGTTGCCGAAGATCACTTTGGTTCATTGGCAAGTTCAAAAAACATATTACAATAGCTGTGTAGTCAATATTGTCTTTCGTTATAGCTATCGATTAAACTGATTTTCATAAAATATCAGCCTAATGAGAAGTAATATTCTGTAACAAAATCCATACTTATCATGTGAAGTTCAAAATCAGATAAAGATCATGAGGTTGAACAAAAACTGTTCTGTAAATCACATGACTGACTTGGCTGGACGCTAAAACACTTTCCCCAGTCAAGCCGTAAGAACGTTTTCTATAGACATGCTGAGTTTCGACCCATAACAAAAAGTGATCCGCTGTTTACTCTACAAATACCCAGAATGCACCCCTGCTGACGAGGCACTGACCTCTCTCAGCACAAGGACGTTCTTCCCGAGGAAAGGGCAAAGTACACGGTGTTGCTGGTCTGCACGAGTCTAAGAGAGCGAGCAAAAAAGAAGTGATGAGAAAAATGTCTCACGATGCTGTTATCTCTCTCTGTGTGTGTTTTCCTTCGTCTCTTTCCAGCTGACTGTCTGTTGTGTTCAGGATGGGACATCTCAGTCTGGTCACTTTGCTAGCAGGTAACCTAAACCAAGAAAACATTATATTGTATTTAACACATGTATTTATAGCAGGAAAAACACTTTTCTGCTTGTTATTATTAGAACAAATGGATGAAATGAAGCAATCATTTTAATTATTTTTTTTTAAAATAACTTGGCTTTTCTTTTTCTTTACTTTTTTCAGTGCTGTTCTCCATTTTTATGGAAACTGAAGCAAGTAAGGCCATAACTTTTCTCTTTTTCCCCCCCCATTAGCTTTAGCTGATCTGCGAACCAGTTTGTGAATAAACCAGTTCAAACGAGGCTTGAGACTCACATTAGAGTGGGAACCTTGAGTGAAAACAGATTTGATCAAATTGTTTTTATTTGTAATGTAAAAGAAGCATCACCAACAGTGAAACATTTAAAATAATGTTGTTGCTCAAATGTAATTATTGTTATTTTTTATTTACTTTGACATGAGACAATCTAAAGTAGAGTTTGCTGTGCAGATTATGGTATCTTTTTTGTTCTTCATAGAGTAACATGATAATGGGATTTTATTAACAGATTAGTTAGTCAGGTTATTTGTTTAACCAGCATGCCAAAGCTTTCAATCCTAAAAGAGAGGCTCCTCAATATTAAAGTGTTAGCAGCTTTTTTTTCCCCTATTCTTAACATTTTGCATTTACGACTACTACAAATAACTCCAAGCAGCTTAATTTGTCTTTTCTTTAAAGCATGAAAAAAGCGGAGTTGTACTCTTTCAGCTGGCTGACCCGTTGTGTGAAGCAAAAGATGAGATTAAGAGACTACAAACGCCACAGATGATGAGAAAACTTCAGGATTTTGTCTTGGATCTTGACTGATTAAAAACTGTAACTAAACGCGTTTCTTTCTTTTCCATGTCTCTCACTGTTGTTGTCCTCAGATCCATTTGTCTACAGTAAGTGTGAACCCTCAAGCTGCTTTTTTCTTATACACTGAAATGTGAAACATAGTTTCACATGATTAAATATTTGATTACAATTCCATTTGCGCACTGCAACTCACTGTTTGCAAAAATATAGAAAAGTGAAACTTATTAACAGCTTTGACTCAAAATATGACATTCAACAAAATTTCCAACTCAAACACAAGATGTTTGTGCTTTGTTATCTGACAGACTATGAAAGGCTAAGGATTGGAGGCCTCATCTTTGCGTGCATGTTGATAGCTGGTGCAGTTGGCCTGCTTTTCTGTAAGTGCTCCAAAGACAAAAAATATACATACATTTTCAGCTTTTCCTCTTGGTCCCAACTGTCCAGATATCTGCAAATCATTTAAAAAATATTTTTTTCTGTCCTAGATAACCAATGCAGGAGACCCAGGTGAGCCATTTCTATGAATCATGAGTTTGTCTAAAATTAAATTTGCTGTACACACTGCCTCTTTCTTTACAAGCTGCCTTGTTAACTGCTGCCACTCCCTTTTCCCTATTTATCCAGCCAAAAGAAGGATAATGAAGGTGATATCTGATCTTGCTCCTGACAAACCGGTTCAGGAAGAGGAGCCGGTTCAGGAAGAGGAGCTCCACCAGCCAGACGCTGGCTGGTGGAGAGAGAATGGTGGGACAGTAAGAGGAAGAAGAACATCAGCTCAGAAGATCAGGCATAACCTGTACAGACATTAAAAAAAAAAAACAGCAACCAGCATCCCCAAAATTATATTTCTGAAACACCATCAGCCTTACGTCATAGTTTAAACTTGTTGAATCTAAATATGTGATATTTCCCCCACCTAAAATGAGACTTTATTTTGTCCAGCTCTGTCCTTAAATGTCTATTTAATAACTATTTCTATTGTCTGTAAATATAGATTGATTAGACAACATTATTTTTCCTTTCTAAAGGATTCATAGACATTACTACAATGTTGCACATGCAGGCTAATTATAAGCTTTATGAAACGGTGTCAATTGTAATAGGTGATATGTGATCAGTTATAGATACATTTAGTTATATTTGTCCAAGTATTGAAAGGATTTGGGAAATAAATGTCACCAACCTAAATGCATGTCGAAATTCTAATAAACATCTCAATTGTAAAAGTTAACAGATGTGTCAGAGCCTTGTTTAATACAGATCTAATCATTATGTCTTTATTTTTAAGCAACTGAACGCGAATGGCAAAACTCTGCTCAACTGAGCGCTTCTTATTTCCGACGTTTTTCTGTGGGCTGACTGTGGATCAGCTTCCCCACCCACTCGTGTCCGGTCGCTCGTTCTGAAGTCAGCGGGAACCGACCCGGGATCAGAAACTCTTTAACAAAGCTGTAGCAGCGCTTTGAACACGGCTCCCCCGCCCCCTCTTCTTCTTTTTGTTTTTTTTAAACGAAAAGCCAACCTGTTGAGTGTCAGAGGGACGCGTTGAAGGCTGGGTGTGGGCACGCACAGTGGACCGAGGACGCTGCTTCAGAGAGTCACGCATAGACATCCGCTCGCTTTCTGCTGCTGAATTTAACGAGTTTCAGGGTAAGTTTTTACCAAAAATGACCCTTTAGTCTGAAATGTTCTCTTTAAGTTGTCCGTGTTGTTTCTTTCCTCTGACAAATGGACAATTAAGTCCATTTTTGGGAAACTTGAAACGAGAAAAGGCGTGTTGCGACTTTTTTTCTTTTTTTTTCTTTTTAGATAAGTTGCGTGCGCGAAAATCTCTCCCGAAAACTTGATGGAACACCCCCCAAAAAAATCACATTCAGTCATTTTGTCGGTTGTTTAAACGGCAACAAAGACTCGAGAAAAAAAAAATTACCGCAACATTTCCTGCTACACTGTGTAATTAGACACATGATTAAAAGTGAAATCTAGTTTAAAGCAACATTTTTACCTTCTGTCCTGTTTATAGTTTCTATCGAGACCGCCAGTTCCGCACGCGAGCACTTACCTACGCGCGTGAGCAGAGGCGGTCCATGTATGAGTAGCGACCGGGTGACCCCTTCTCCTTCTTAATGGTGCCTTTTGTTGCTATGTTTTCACTAATAAGGTAAAAGTTTCAGAAATTCAAAACTTGTTGCGAGGAATCTATGATTTGTGTAGGATAATACATTTACATTAGGTTTATATTTTCTATATTTCACAGTTTACATACTTGCCAGTGATATTGAATTTTAACAGCATAAACTTCTGCAATCATTTAAAGACGGATTGAGGAGTATTCAATGTTTGTCAAATTCACAAGGACTTGAACGTAACGCCTTTGGCTTTGATTTGCACCTAAAACAGGATGGACGCCTCAAGATAACAAGTCATTGATCATCTATAACTGGATCCAAATCTTTTTGTCTTCACCACATTTTCCCTCCAGTTTTATTTCATATTCATTCACACTTTAGTCTTCCTGTACACAGTAAAAACAAAAGCCTTTAAATCAAGAATTTGATTTAAAAACAAAGAGGGAAAATTTAGTTATCTTGACTATATAGGAATTTAGAACAAAATGTCAAAAACAAATAATTAAAAAGTGACCTTAGCATGCTTTTCCTGTAAGTGACAAACTATACTGTACTTATCGTTAATTTGATTTCACAAAAAAGTCTAACTGGAAGTGTTAAATCTTCTCTTATTTCAATCCAAATATATTAGCAGCTGTCTAACAATACAATAAATCTGATTAAAAATGTGATTTCAAGTGATTCGATCCATTTGGAAACATTTTGTTCCAAAACCTGATGAAGCTCTCTTTGTAGCCAAGCTGTAGCTTGGTTTCTCTAGCATATAGTGGAGTGTGGTGCGTTTGCGAGTGTGTGAGAGACAGAAGGCCAGCTGATAAGAGCAATGGTGACTCGTGTTTGCCAAGTGTTAGAAGGACAGCCTGGGAAAAGGACAAGGGGACAGAAACCGTTGGCGAAGCTGTAGTTACAGAAAACTCTTTGCATTTCCTCTGGTGAATGTCGATGAAGGATTTAGATCAGGGTGTCGTCTGCATATCGGCACATTCCTTCTGCATCAGTGGAAGTCAGAGGGAAATTAGTGTTGCTTAAAGTTGTCAGATGGGATATAATGATATTTACATTGCCAGTTCCTACCTGTGAGTCATAATTGCTACTACAAACTTTGCATTTGTAAAGAAAGAATCAAAAGAATCACAAAGAAAGTCAACAAATTTGAGCCAGAAATTACATTTTTGCTCCTCCTAAACGTGCTGCAGAACAAGTTATGTTTAGAGCTCTATCCCAATAACAGCAGGACGGAGTTCAGGATCCTGAAACGAGGTGATGGAGTTATTTATTCTTTCACAGATGAGACAGATTTAGCTCTCCGTCTTCACCTCGCCTCTTGTGATCACAGCGAAAACAACGGGAGAAACTGAGAGAAACACTTTGGCTTTGGAGGAGAGGAACAGAGAGAGCTCAGAGGCGCCCGCTCCCTCCTCACCTCTTCACGCCACACTTTGCGGGCTCACGAACACAAATTTAGAAACCCCGACGAGGAGGCATTGATTTTATATCAGCATCATGGCCGTGACCTTCATTGCTTTCACCGTTTGACCTCAGAGCTGTAGAGCTCTGCTCTGATGAACCACAGCTAATCCTTTCAGATTTAGCAGCCATAAACGTTCACGGATAATGCTTTCAATTCTGTAACTATTGATTCAGATCTTAGACTGAGCATGTTTTTCAACTGAAGTCTGGTTGAATGAAATTATAGAAATGGACTCCATCCCTTCGTCCTGTGTGTGTGGCGGCAGAGCGAGGCACATGAAGTCTGTTGTTAGCGCCTGTGGTTTCCATGTGTGACTCATGGTTGGAGTATGCTGCACTCCCTCGTGCTTTCTGCCTGTGTCCCTCCTCCTTTCCTCGGTTTCTCAATCTCGCTCTCCCTCGTCTTCCTGCCTCTCTCGTTCTCTGAGGCCTAAATTCCTCTCTCCTACTATCCTTTTCCTGTTCGCTCTTTACTTCCTTTGAGATGTTGTGAGCTTTTCCTTTTCTTGTTTCACTTTATCCTTTAATGAACCACCTCCACCGAGTCTGGCTTCTTCCTTCTTGTCTCTGTTGCGATTTTTTTTAGATTATTTCATGTCAACCATGACAGAAGTTACTCCATTTGTTGGAGCTCATCCTTGGTCAGTATTGATTAGCCGGTATCTAGCGGACAAGTTGGACAAGACTTTAAGGTTATCCGTTTCCACTTTAAAATCCTTAATTCCTGACTCTTCTCTCTTTCCAAAGATTAATGGGAACTTAATCCTCAAAGAAATCGAAACGGACTCAGCCGTCGTCACTGTGTTCAGGCTACTACAAAGACCTTCCTCTGTAAATGTGCGCTCCCTGAGGATGTGTTGCACACTGGAATGCACTGATGCTAATTTAGGCATAAAAAACGCCCCTGAAAATAGACAGCTGCCTTTGTAGTGCAGGAACACAAACACACGTGTCTGGGAGTTCAACACGTTGGAAAAGTACTTCCAAGCTGGACACAAATGCTGTCAGACGTATCAGCACACCGACTACATGTGATGGGGGACGCCAACAGGGAGGTTTTCACCGCTCTGAGTCAGTTTGCCCTTTCGCAAATCCGTGCTCCCATTCCGTACTCTCGTGTTGACTTTTTTTTTTTTTTTATCTATTCCTTCTCCCATTTCATAACCACTTCGGCCCCCAAGTCACAGCAGCTGTGGACATCCACAGTCTGTTCTGGCCAGGCTGTTTTATTGCTACCCATTATTGTGGGTGCAGTCCAAGTGATCAGGTCTGTCGTCTACAGCTACAAGCAACAACAAGATCAAGATCAATAACAATGTTCCACTTTCTTTTCTGCATTATAATATTTACAGAAACTTTGGTGATTTAAAGTATTAGTTAACTTAATCCTGACTCTGCTGTTTATTTCCAGTTCTGAGATGGGAAATGGTGATTGACTTGAGACACCGTGAAACATTTTAATCGCTTATTTTGAGTTATTCAACCACCTACTGATGTAATTCATCAGCTGAATCTACTGTTTTTCTAAACTAATTTACAATTATCTTACCCACAATGCACTTCATCCTTATCCTTATTTAAAGCAGTTCTAGAAAGTCAATGCAGGACCCCTATGACCAGCGACAGCAGTGAAGATAATGTAGTTAAATGTAATAACATGATCAACTGCAGCCTTAGGAGAAACAACAGCTTTATGTAAGTAAACTATGCAAGTTTACAAATCTTTCACAAGTTCCTGCATGTCTGGTCTTCAGGGGCGAGGCGGGTTTGTTTATTTCAGCGTAAACATACCAGTTTTGCTTGCATATCGTATAGGTGAGTTACGCCTGGATGGTTTGTGCAGCTTCACCGATGTCAGAGAGGAGAAGAAGAGAGGCTGGACTGCAGAAACTGATTATGGGCTCAAGAGCAGAAACCCTAGAAGCCCTGCCTCTGGGACTTTGTAATGTAATGGATAAACGGGTTGAAAAGGCTGAAGAGAGGGAGGGAAGGGGGGAAAAAGGCAAAAGTGTAGGGATGTGGACAAGTGTTTTTTAGGAACAGGGTACAAGTAAAGGACAAGTTTAAACAGAGTGTAGAGCCAAAGGGAGTGGACAGAAGCTCATCCAAGGAAGAAAAGCAGTGGGTTATAGTGGCTTTAAACAAACAGGCAATTCTTTCAATTTCCAGATTTGGCAACAACAAAAAAAAGTAGTGAAAGAGAAATGTGAAGCAGGAAAGAGAGAGACAGGAAAAAAAGTGGGGAAAGTACTGCAGTGAGAGCTGAAAACAAAACCCAGTCAGGGATTGGCTTAGTGGCATGACAAAGCCAGAACAGAACAGTCTTTATTGCTGCAACAGGCGCGGCTGGAGTCGTCGCTGCGCAGGGGGAATTCAGGCCTGAGAGTATAACAATCCTCCCCATCAGCTGTGATTTCACAAGATTCATAAAAAAGTCGCAAGGAGGACAAAACAAGATTGGAAGCTAATGGTCCTTTTTAATGGATTCAGCATGCAGACAGCAGAGCATAGATCTACTGGGGACGGGGAGGGGGCTTGTGTGAGAATTTGTTGTCTTTCCCACTAGGAAGAATCTGCAAGATGTGTGAGACATGAAAGGCTGGAAAATTATAAAACTCCTGCAAGACGAATCCCTGAGAGATTTGTGTTATCCCAACAAGTGTTGCTCTTGTTTTCCTTCAAATGCTCAAAATGCTGTGACTCGCGGTTTGGTTTAGTAGTTTTCTCTGGATTGACGTCTTAATGTCGATGTGGGTGGTGCACCTTTTTAAATTTGTCTTAAAATTTTTGGAGAGCACCAGAATGCTTGGGAGGCACACCCTGGACAGAACCAGTACCGGTGTCAACATTAATCTCTCACAGTGTTCCTTTAGTTGAGTACGTTGGAGCAAACGTGATGATCAGAATTTGCCTCAAGGCTTAAAAGTTATTTCCTTTGGAAACCCCCAGTGGTTTCCAAACATTTTCTGCGCCCCCCCCTATGGATTACAAATGGCTGTCTGATTGAAACAACACGTGTGACGGGGGGCATTGACTTTTGGGGGGGCAAAATGAATGTACGTAGCTGAAAATAGACACCAACATTGGTAGCCTACAGGCTACTTGTTAAGCTTAAGGTTCTGTATTGATATTAGCTAGTCATCTTTAGCTAAATTACCTGCATCCAACAGCTTTACTCAACTCAGTCGGTTAGTTTGGAGGGAAAAACTGTGAAAAGTTCTTTGCGTTTTGCTGGTTTGCTGCCGCGATTCTAACACAAACCTACGAAGCTCCACACAGCAGCAGCAGGTCTCCTTCACAGGTGGAAACCCAGCGCGAGCGTCGTAGCGCTCATGTTGCATTTAAAGGTGGTTCGGAAAAACAGGTTACAACATGTTAACAACGGATTAAACAGTTTTAACTGCTGATAAAAGTGACAGAGGACACAAATATGGGACGTGTGGAAGCCTCTACTGTATCAAATTGACATAGGAATAACAGAGAGTTGGCCAATCTAAGGTAAAAACCCAGAGCATACAGTGTTCATGTTTTGTTTTGTTTTTTCATCCAGACGACTTCCCGCGCCCCGCAGTGACACGGCGCCCCACAGTTTGAGAACCTCTGGTTTAAGCACCTTTTGTGACAGGCAGCACGGCTCTTTTCTCTTCAAACAGCTGCTTCATGACACGTACTGACTGCACTCCACTTTCCCAGCAAGTTGCTGGACTTTTATCTTTGCTTGAGCACAAAGCCTCCAGCACTTTCCTCCCATGCTCCACCTTATACAAACATTTGCTGTAGAATATGACCATGCTGGTGGAGGTGAGAAGGGAGCTGCTCCTCAGGCTCCTCTCTGCTTTCCCTGCTGCGTGCTCTTCATCGCTCTTCGTCTTCCGTCTCTTGCACGTCTCTCCCTGTTCTGTCTTTCTCTGCTGGTCGCCGGCCAGCTTCCCATCCTCTGCATTCCCCCGGCGTCGCCTGGGGTTGCTGTGGGGAGGCACCAGGAGAGAAGCGCTCATCCTGTTGTTTTCTTTCTCCCCTCCCCGCTCTCAAACTCCAACCGGCAGCAAAGCGGGAAGAGATACCGCTTTAATAACGGCCTTTATTCTGATCCCATCAGACTCAGCTTTGGTTTGTTTTACACCTACAAACCTTGACAAATTCATTTTGCTAAAGTCATGAGACAGTAGCTATCTTGGGGATTGTTAGGTTGGTTCTACAGAGCAGATTTCTGCCGCTCTAAGTGTTGCATTTTCACAGACCTCTCTCGCATGTGACTGTGTGTGAATCTGATCCCGCTCGAGTCTGCTTTTTCCTGTGATGCACCCAAAGCGGAAAATTGCAGTAAGTGGAAAATCACTGCAGACTGAGGTGTGTCACCGCAGCGTTCACATGGTGCGTCTGCCCCAACATGGCAACAAACAACATGGGAGCTGATCCTCTCGGATGACGCGTGGAATCTAAATAAAGTGCCAGGAAATGAGTTAATAAAGGAAGATTTAAAATGCCCTGCAAAAATGCTCATATCCCCTTTTGTTTTCTCTTTTTTTTTTTACATGGTTTTCAAAGTTTTTGTAGATATAAAATCTGTAAGGCTTGCTGTGCATTCTGTGGAACCCATTTTCAACCCGATAACCCTAAATAAAGTGATGATGCCGCTTTTCTTCAGCTAACTAGAGTCAATTTGAAGATAGATGAAGCTAAATGTAGGAAAATCGTGGAGGAAAACCTGATGGACCCTTCAAAAGATTTGACACTGAGGTGGAAGTTCAGCGTCTAGCAGGACAATAACCATCTAGATCAAAACATATCTCTGTGTCATAATGGGCCATTTACGTTCAGGGGTAGAAAGTAGCAAAATGAAAACTAGCTCAAGGCGTATAAGTAGTTCTCCACTGCATTTTATTCCTGTTACCTTGATTTATTATTGTCAGGAGCTAGATCTGTGAACATTTGCACAGACTAAGTGCTCTTTTAATAGAATATCAGCATTTTTATGCCGATGTTCTGCAGAAAACAGGATTAATACATCACTTCAGAGCAAGAAAGGCTTTAAAAGCCTGAGGGCCGGATAATAGCATTCTGACGGACAGCTGCACTGAAGCAGGAGCAAAGAAGATTACAGTTCTGAAGCTTTAACATGGGATCCTTGTAATGCAGTTACCACGAGATATTTAAGGCCTTCATCCCTTTGTGACCATGAAAATCACCCCAATTTTCAGCCCATGTGAAATAATTGGATTTATTTGCTTTGCGAGCGAATGTTTATTCCTCAGAGGTTCGGGTCGCCTGGTGTTTCTGTCTCGTTCTGCTGCTCGGCCCACGGCACAACAAAGAGCTTTTAACATCACAAATGCGACGCATGACATTTAAAATGTAAACATTTTGACGACCCTGCATTCATGTTTGAAGCTGCAATTTCATGGGAACATGGGCTTCAAGTTGATGTTCTGCCTAGATTATCAAACAAATCATCATTTCCACTCAGTTTCTCAGGCTTTTATTTTGAGTATTTGCTACCAGAGCCTGACAGAGATCAAGAGTTTGCGTTGCATCATAATGAACCTATTGTACCTTTTGTCTGTTTCAGATCAAAACAGAATGAAGATGTCAAAGATCCTCACTTTGGTGTTTATGACCTGTAAGTAAAACTGAATATCTTGACTTTTGCTGAGTCGTTTAAACTGTCTGAAAAATAGACTTTTTTTTTTAAATGTATTTTTAAAACATGAATTATTACTCTTAGCTGTTTTTATGTTTCCATTTGTGTAACTATGAACATCAAGACGCATCAATTTACTGAAGTGTTGTGCTCTGTTTCCCATTTTGAAGAGCAGCTAAGACATTTCTAATTGTCATATATATAGCAGGGGAAACGGGATATCAGATTCATATGAATAAAAGTTTCTTTAGCCTCTGACGAACTCAAAAGAAAGATTTAGTTTGATTTACTTTATAGGGTTTATAGGACGGTTTTTGTTAAAAACGTTAGAAATATTTAGTAGTTTAGTAATTTAGTGAATCTTTCTTACTGAAGAAGTCAAATTAATGGTTGGATTTTTCATATTTACACCAACATTAAATGTCAGCTGAAGCACTGATCCTGCAGAGGTTTGTATTTTCTGTGCAGTTCTTTTCCTGTTTGTGAAATCGCGTGAGAGGTTTCAGGCTGTGGTTCACTTCACTGATGTGTATCTCTCTCTTTTTTTCTTTTTCAGTTTTGTCCCTGGTGTCTGTCAACGCAGAGGCCACGAACTACAGTAATGTTTTTAAAGCATTTTTTTGCCCTCACATCAGCTTTTATATTAGTTCATTACAACAAATGTGTTAATGCTGTGACCTGTGAAAGGCTCAGAACGAGGCCACCATGTTTGCTTATCACACTGTTTACATTGGGTCACTTATTAATGTTGCCGTGCATCCTCTCTGACTTTTCTTCTTTTCTACTTCAACAGACGGAGAAGAAGCGTTTACATTTGGTAATTCACTGTTCTTCTATCACTACTGCAATAACAGATGTCTAATTAGTAACATCAGCTCTCAGTACTTGAACCAAGATGTTTGGGGAAACTAGTTTATGCAGTCGGGCCCTTTTGCTAATATTTATTTTTAGCTTACTGTTTAATGATGAGCGCTATTTGTTTGTGCAGACTACCACAGGCTTCGGGTTGGAGGCCTCATCTTGGCTGCTGTCCTCTGTCTCATTGGCATCACTATCCTGCTCAGTAAGATGCACACACATGCACACACACACACACACACACATACACACACACACACACACACACACACACACACACATACACACACACACACACACACACACACACACAGAAACATCTTGGTAAACATGTGATATTGCTCAGAGATACAGCCATCGTAAAAAAGAGCTTCTTTTCTCTTGAAGGTGGTCACTGCAGGTGCAAGTTCAACCAGAACAAGAGGTGAAGCTTTTAAAAGCACAAATATAGATCTGTGTGTAACTAGAGTGGAAACGCTGAAGCTCTGCTCTCTTTTCAGAAGGAGGACAGGCAGCAACACTCAGCAGATGCTCAACGACCAAGGTACTCTAATTTACACTCATCAGCAATTAGTTACCTATCAGCCAACAGGTTAATATCAATATGTCCAAAAATAAAACCGTAAGTAATCCTCAGATCTGTAATTCCCCTTATTTACCTCTTTTACATCAATATACCTTTAGACATCTTCTAGACTAGGTGTAAAAGACAGGATTTTTGTACTTAATATATTATCCTCCATATTTATTTACTCAATATTTATTGAGCTGGATGGAGTCTAATATATTTCCACGCAATGACATGCATACGAGTTATTATCTTTAATGTAATACAGTTTTGCAGAACTTTTCTTAGGAGATTAAATACTTATTTCCAGTGCAGCATATAGTAAAACTATGTCAGCTGCATTAACTTTGCACAAATAGACAGGAGAGTCATTAGCTATAGCTCTACTGATTTTATATTTAAAAATATTTAACATAGGATGTTTTTTTCCAATGAAAAAAATAGATTCTTCTACAATCTGCCCTCCAGATTACGTCACAGTTAAATATTATTTATTTAAAAAATATGTTTCCTTCTGTGTTGTGGATGACAGTGATTGCATATGAATTGACTAAAGCTAAATCAAATATCGCAAAGAAAACATCTTTTATTTAAAATTGTCAGTCAGATAAAACTGATATTTTCATGGAATATAATGTATCAGATTTACAAAATTAGGGGGACTATTGATGGATTATTAGCAGATGCAAAAGGCGTAATAGTGTCTTGGATATTCAGAGTTTCATTTCCAATCTCGTTAAATTTTTCTACTTAAAAGCTGAATTTATTCCATCCATCTGTTTTGTCGTAAACACACACACACACACACACACACACACACACACACAGTCATGCTGTCGGCGCTGGCCCGAGATGCCTCGGACCTCGCTGTTCAACAGGTGGCGGGACGCCGGGCATCCGTCAGGTGGAGGAGGGGCGCAGGGAGCGGACTGGAGCTGCTGGAGGTCACCACACTTGTGCTGCAGCAGCTATAAAAAGACTCAGCAGTGAACCCGTTGGAGGGCAGTCTGCCTGATTGTGCATAACTCTGTTTTATACAATATGCTCACAGAGTTTAGATCTTATTTACAAAGGTCAGAAAATATCTTCTGTTTCAGTTAAACAAGCGATTAAATAATTATTTGCACATCTCACCTATTGCAACATTACAGGGATTTTTATTTATTAGTTTTGACGACAAACATCCTAACAGTTCTTAAAAAAAAACGTTCACAAGTCTAATAGAGTAAAAAATAAAACTGGCCAGTCGTGATAAATATATTTTCATCATAGAAATCTACAATAAAGAATGTATTACATGATCCAGACATATTCTCTATTTATTTTCTTCTCAAACATACAGTAAGAGTAAATTGTTTTGTTTTTTATGTGTTCTCTGTTGGATTTCCTTATAATTATGATTTGTAGTATTATTGATTTTATCTATGTCTATTA